GTTTAGATAAAAAATGAAGATCGTATCATTATCTAAAAAAATGGTCCCTATTATTTTTTTCGCAAGACGAATATTTTTTGCAAAAACGGCCTTCGAAAAAGCCCGAACTTTTGCACTGAATAGAAATGTTAGTTTCTCATTGAATTTCCGCTCGAGGGAGTTGGGAATACATTGATTTTCATGTTTTGGACTTTGAAGACCACTGCTCACTAAATTATGGGGCCTATGAATGGAAATCCGGGCACCAATCGATCTTTCGACAATTATTGGCGGATTCTACGGGATTTTTTCTGTAAAGTAGCGCTTGGGGGGTCTCATCTATATTGCCGAATGTTCTGTGTAATTTGCGTTGCAAAATTTAATAGAAAAGTTCAAAAAAAATTTTTTTTCATGTGGCAGTCTCAAATCCCGGCGCTTTGCCTAATAGTGGGTTATTAGTTTTAAAGTGTGATGAATATTGACCCGAGAAGACCCTTTATATTTTCTGCGTCTGTTGCAAAATTTTAGCCAACTTCTATCGGAACAATATAGGTCCAGGGTTTCAGAAAAATAAGAAAGTTTCTGAAAATTTTCTTTTATTATGAAAAACATGTTGAAAATACGAAATACATAGCAATGCTTATAATTTATCATACGGTAAACCATTAAGTGTCATCAGAATCATACTCTTCATCGTCTTGCTCTTTTTCTGTTCCTTCCCCTCCTCCACGCGTCTCTTCCCCCTGTTTTTCCGACGCCTGTGTTGCTGTCTCGACAGCTATTTCATCCTCCTCCCCTTCAACCCCTTCTGGGTCTCGATCCATCTCTAATTCTTCCAGGAAAATACCTTCATTTTTGTTATAATTAAAACACTGTGTCGGTTGACACGAACCACAGACAGGCGAGCATTTCAGTCCGGCTTTCAAACATGAACAATTCTTCTCGCAGCCTGTCTTGCACTGACAAAAAATCATCTTCAAGAGTTCCGGGGGGGGGGGGGGGCGGATCCCTTTTACACTTAATTTCATTAATTTTTCTGGTAATTACATTCACTTTGTAAAGCAAATCTTCTAGAAGTGCCGCCAAAAGCTCTGTATCTAAAGGGCTTTCTATTTTATGTTTGTTTTACCTAAAAAAAAGAATAACATTAGTAGAAATCATTATATGATAGACATAGCAATAAAAGACATACCTTAACCCCAAATCTTCTAAACATATTCCACTTTAACTCATTTTTGTTAAATATAGAAAAGAAAAGTAATCATTGTTTATTATTGTACTATTCGAACCCAGAATTGTGAATTTTCTTTAAATATACGAAAGAAATATATAACAACCGACAATAACGAATCCAAAAACAACAGAGATTGTATACCAACAAAAGCAGACGATTAAGGTGAGCGCGTGGCGCGTGGGTACACGTGGTTAGGTTATGATGGAATATCATAGATCTCAGGCGGAGAGCGTAAAAATGGGGGAGATAATTCTAACAAACAGTTAAGAACCACGCTCACATATGGGGATCAATTGATAGAAATGGAAAGGTGAGAATATCAGCTTCACTTCGGTCTGGGTATTAATGTTCAAAAAATTAACAGCGGGGAACAAGAAGTATTTAAAAAAAAAGTCTGGTTTTCCCTGGTGTGATCAATTTTCCCGATTTTTGGAAAATGAAGCAACTTTATTAAAAAAACAAAATACATTCAAAAAGTAGACACTCTAAGCTTTAAAATGGTTTATATTGAATAACAATATAATGAAATATGAGTTTTTAATTACTGCTTGTTTCAAAGATTTCTAGAACTTCAAAAACGTATGAAAAATGCAAATAAACAAATCAATTTTGTTTTAAAACGCCAGGAAGATACTGGAAAAAAATTTCTGAGATCATTCGAGACATCTCAAGATCCAATTTAAAACAAAAACGGGATTAAAAACTATTAAAAGAAAAAAAAATATGAATGAATTACTATAAAGTGGTCCAAAATAGTAGGAAAACGCAACTTTGACCCCTTTTTCAATGTTTTTGACAGAAAATAACGGGCTTCAAGGCACATGGATGGATACCTATGGATTTTTCCATTGTATTGAACTTTGAATCATCGACAAATATCAATTTTTATCCGAGTTCTGAAACAATTTGTCCACCCGTTTACAAGCTAATCAGCATTGCTAGAGAGGCTGAACGAGGGACTTTTTATTGCGGTTATCTCGAAACCTGTCGAATTCCCGACAAAAATAATAGGTACCATTTTGGGCCCTTTCCGACGCAGCAGAGTTGGTAAAAGTTTTCGACATTGGAAACGACCGCCGAAACCTAAGAGTTGAGCCACAACGAAAATCTGGACAGGTTGGTCCCTTCAGTTACTGGACTATTAATAGTAATTGTTAAGAGGTACCGTTAAGAGGTGCTATTGAGAGGTAATGTTGAGAGATACTGTTAAGAGGTACTATTAAGAGGTACTGTTAAGCGGTACTGTTAAAACGTTCTAATAAGATGTACCGATAAAAGATATTAATTGCATTATTAGTCGCCCAAATTCTAAAGTAATGCCACTTCTATTATGGTATATTATATTACGAGTGTGAAAAATTACTTTTACATAAGTGATGTACAATATTTTTCCTACGACCAGAAAATTATTTCAAAAAATGCCAGTAAATCTGGCCTATAGATAATAAAATGTGGCTGATTCTAGGTTTGCTTTTCGTGAATGGTGTTTTGTTAAAATTAGAAACATTGATTCCATTTTTGACGGTAAAATGATATTAGGTACAAAAAATATTAGAAGCAATAATGTTTTATATTGGTTTCATTTTTTGAAATTCAACAAACAATAAGATGAACAACAATGAACAAGAACTTTCTTAATATTACAAATAATACCCATTTTTCTACTTCTAATTTTTTTCTAAACCGTTACTAAAAGTGTACAAAATAAATAGCAGAAAAATTAACGGATTGCCTTACTGTAGAAGTTATGTTATGATAAATAAAACGCATTTAAAATAATTAAATGCAATAGTCGTAGTTTGTATTTTTCATATTTTTCCAAAATAAAACGCTGTGGAACACTTAAAGACCTTAGCCATTCGGCTTATGTCAACTAAATTTTCTAATCAAATATGCGTATTAACCAAAAATAAAACAAAAAAAAATACTTGTGGCACTCGGGGACTGCCGCGGTAAAGCTATTGCATAGCATTTTCTATCAACTTATGCAATTCTAATTATTTATTTATTTTATTTATGCAGTATTTTTTTTTCTTTGATATTAATTCAAGGTTTTTCTTTGATACTAATTCAAGTTACTCTTTTTGAGCGTGGTGACCGATAAGAAAACAATTTTTTTTCTTTTATTGAATAAATGAGAAGTTAATATTGTTTAAAATATTTTTATTATCTTATAATTCATGTAGGTTATTCAGATATTTTTATCATTGAAACTATAGGTTATGGTAACTGAAATAAGAAACATAAGTTTGAGACTTGATATCCTCTAAATATCTGGAAAATACCGCGTCAATGGTGGTCCCATATTCTATTTTTCGATTTTTCGATTTTTTGATTTTTCGATTTTTCGATTTTTCGATTTTTCGATTTTTCGATTTTTCGATTTTTCGATTTTTCGATTTTTTGATTTTTCGATTTTTCGATTTTTCGATTTTTTGATTTTTCGATTTTTCGATTTTTCGATTTTTCGATTTTTCGATTTTTCGATTTTTTGATTTTTCGATTTTTCGATTTTTCGATTTTTCGATTTTTCGATTTTTCGATTTTTCGATTTTTCGATTTTTCGATTTTTCGATTTTTCGATTTTTCGATTTTTCGATTTTTCGATTTTTCGATTTTTCGATTTTTCGATTTTTCGATTTTTCGATTTTTCGATTTTTCGATTTTTCGATTTTTCGATTTTTCGATTTTTCGATTTTTCGATTTTTCGATTTTTCAATTTTTCAATTTTTCGATTTTTCGATTTTTCGATTTTTCGATTTTTCGATTTTTCGATTTTTCGATTTTTCGATTTTTCGATTTTTCGATTTTTCGATTTTTCGATTTTTCGATTTTTCGATTTTTCGATTTTTCGATTTTTCGATTTTTCGATTTTTCGATTTTTCGATTTTTCGATTTTTCGATTTTTCGATTTTTCGATTTTTCGATTTTTCGATTTTTCGATTTTTCGATTTTTCGATTTTTCGATTTTTCGATTTTTCGATTTTTCGATTTTTCGATTTTTCGATTTTTCGATTTTTCGATTTTTCGATTTTTCGATTTTTTGATTTTTCGATTTTTCGATTTTTCGATTTTTCGATTTTTCGATTTTTCGATTTTCTTTTATTGAATAGATGAGAAGTTAATATTGTTTAACGCCGCATCGCTGTGCCGGTCGGAGTGGGGGGTGTTAGGTTTTTTTTCGTTACGGTCGTTACGGAATTTGTTGATTCGGTCGCCGCACTCAAAGCCCGCGATAAAAGCTATGCAATAGCTTAAAAATAAAGTTACTTAAACTATTGTAATATGTTAAAAATTATTATCTTGGATCTAGCCAAAAACATTAATGTTGACAATTTAATTATCAAATACATTTATTAATATACCTATTGCACAAATCAAAATAAAATTGACTCATCTTACATATTTGACAGCTGAAGCGAAAACTAGAATATTATTTATACACGGGTGGAATGTAGATTCTTACCCACAGGCATGTGATATAGGACACTTTCCAAAAAAGTGAATAAATATTTCCATATTGTCTCTTTCCTAAGTGGTCGTAGGAAAAATAATATGCGGAGGTGCCGCTTATTAAAATTAAAAAGCCCTGTAGATAGTATTTAGGTTTACTTAATGCATAAAAAAAAAGATGAAAGTTTACATCACAAAATGGACCTTCAATGGTTTCGAGAACTGACATAGCAGCCAAATGTCAAACGTCTAACGTCAAACGTCACCCTGATCTAAAAAGAGTAAGACAATGACGTTATAATATTTTCGTTTCACTTTTTGTACCTTTTTTTAGTATGTGGAGAAAAATTTGTCACTGCCGTGCCTCTGATCGTTAATGGACAAGAGGTGGAGAGAGGCAGTTACCCTTGGGTGGCTGCAATTTACAGAAAAGTTAAAGATGGTTTTCAAAACTCCTGTGGGGGTTCCATGTTAACGCAGAAAGTTATTGTTACAGGTAAGTCATTACCAGTACAGTATACGATATAAGTAAGTTGCAATTACATAATATATGTAGACGAGATATAGCATTTTTAATACAAATCATGATGCACTTCAGAGATCATTCATAACATCACGACCTTTCAGTGTTGTCTAATCGTTAGAATAGTTGAGAAATTTAGAAAGATTTGAAATTGTAAGGTTATGTATTGTTTATTTTGTTACTAGAAACAATTAGTATTATAGTCCAGTCATTATAGTAAGTTCACCTCGGAATTCGAGATACCCAGCTGTAAGTCTGTAAATACTTGTATATTGACACCCTAAAAGTTGTCTCAAAACCTACATATGGTAGGGTATACGCAACTATTAAATTTCAAGGTCAAAGGTCACAAAAATCGATTTTTGCGCTTTTTTTGTAAATATCTCATTTCTTATGGGTTTTTTGCTATTTGTATTTATTATCAACATTGTAGAATACAAAATTCTCTACAAATTTTGTTTACAAAAATTTTTCATACGGTGAACCGTTTTCGAGATAGAGGGCGGAGAGCGCGCGGTCACAGCATCACTTTAGGTCAACCGGTGCCTCCGGTCGAAAACGCGTTATATATAGTTGATGAGCTATCGATAAATCAATGATTATAAATATTTGTCAATTTTTATTAACTATTATATTTTATAATTTTTTTCCTAACCTATCCACTTTTCATTCAGTATTCATTTATTTAACAACACTTACCTGCCCATGTAATTGCAGAATTGTTAATGAAAATATAGGAATTATATTTGAATTTTAACCTAATTAATATTAATAACTTCTTACATGATAAAAAAAAACAAATAAATTATGAATTAATCTTTGTATTAAAAAATATCATTCAATACATTTATTTTTATTAAAAGTAAAAAAATGGAATAAAGGGTACAAAAACTACAATTTATAATTTTAATTATCTTCCTCTTTATCGTCGTCTTCCGGCTGCTGGTAAATTTCAAACTGGTCTTCATTATCGTCTTCAACGACATTTGTTTCAAGTTCTTCCATGATTTCGGGGCCAAAGGTTCCATCTTCGTTAATGTCGCTCTGATATGGTAGAGCATTGAGACAAGCTTGCCCATTACATTGGCCACAAGCTAAAGAGCATTGCATCCGCATCGCGAACCACAACCACTCTTGCAGTTGCAGAAAATTGTATTTAGCAAATCTTCTGGAGCAGGTGGTAAAATTGTTATGATAGGCTCCAGAAAATCGTTAAGAATTTTTCATCGAAACAGACTTCATACGTTTTTGAAAGTGCAGCAGTTCTTCTCTGCTGCTCCATAGCTTTTACGTTCTTACTGTAGTCTGAATTTTTTTTTTTTTTAAACAAAATTGGTAGAGAATTTTGTTTTCTACAATATTGATAATAAATACAAATAGCAAAAAACCCATAGGAAATGAGATATTTACAAAAAAAGCGCAAAAAAACGATTTTTGTGACCTTTGACCTTGAAATTTAAGAGTTGCGTACACCCTACCATATGTGGGTTTTAAGACAACTTTTAGGGTGTCAATATACAAGTATTTACAAACTTACAGCTGGATATCTCAAATTCCGAGATTCTTACCTAATTTAAGCTTAAATGACTGGACTATTAAATGTATATAACTAATGGAAAATATTGAATTCCTTAATTCAAAAAATAAATATCTAAACAAAACAGTTGTAAACATATTGCAAGTCATGGAAAATAAAACTGTAAGGTAATATATTGCAGATGGATCAAAATTGGTTCAGAATTAGAACAGAAAATATATCAAACTAATTTCATTTCGCCAAAAAAAGTTATTTAAAAGAACTACATTTAAGTTATAAACACCCCATAAAATTAAATAGATAGCAGAAATGCTTCTTTTTAACTCTTAAGTTACTGAAACGTGTATGAACAATCAATTCGTCACTCAAACATTAATATTCTCCAATGCATTGTTTATTATAGTAGCTTTGACCTGGCCATTTCTTACGTAAAAAATTTACATTCTTTGTATAGCATTCTCTGTAAAAGGAAATTTCATATACTGGACATCCATTGGGTCTATACATGCTGATAATATGACTGATAATTTTGCTCCAGCATTACTGATTGCAACTTTAAAAAATTATTGGTGCCCTCTAGACTCTGCTTTGTCACAAAAAAGCATGTATTTTTTTCTTTTCGACCACCGGACGATCTTGTAAATGGTGTTCGTGTATTACTTGTAGAAGGTTCATTCATAATCTCAATTGCTTTTTGTCCCTTTTCAAATTTGTTTTCCAGTCTTACTAATTGCCCCTTGTGAGTGCATCGTTTGTAACATGATAAATGCCAACGACAATTTTGTTATGTTAGTATGTTTGTATCACAAAGTAACTCATATGAACATTCGGACTGTTTGTCTCTAAACTTCTTTCGTTAGCAAGGGCTTCTAAAAGTGTTTCCGACGATTTTGATTTTACAACAAAAGATTCTTTTGCCATTTTTTAGCACAATACACAGAGGCTGTCTTTTATCTTTATTGGTTGTAAGCAGGTACGGTTAGATTTAGCCTAGAACACTGCGGCCTCTTGGGTCTATTGTATTCCCCTGCTTTCCCCTTATTCAGGTACTATCTTTGGAATAGTCCTGTGTCTTTGGTTAGTTTTAATAGGTTCACTACCAAGTGTTATTGGGGGTTCTTTCCGGTTCTAGGCCAAAAAAGATGAAGCGTTGCCCATACTCGGACAAAATATTGAAGAAGGTGATTCCTCCCTGTTCACGTACAACAATCATACTATACCAGAGCATAATGAATGGAATCACGCGCTTAAAACTGCAGAAGTTATCGGTATCACGTGCCAACTAGTCATAAATGCATGTTTATTGCCAAAATGTATTACGCCAGTGGCGTATATAAACTATTGGCAAATTAAATGCGGTAATAGTAAATAATATTAGATGAAAGTAGGTTGGTTATCTATTTTTGTAGTAATAATCATTTATGTATATAATTTTATTTTGTTTTTTGTTAAAATATGTAAATATTATGCCAGTGGCGTAGAAACACTATTGGAAAATTAAATGGGGTATTATACTAGAACAAAATATTGAAGAAGGGGCGTCTTAAAACTGCACAAGGTATCGTTATCATATCAAAATGCACTCTTCCAGTGTCGCAGAAATACTATATTGGCAAATTAAATGAGTATTTGTGAATATTACTAGATGAAAGTAGGTTGGTTATCTATTTTTGTTATAATAATTCATCTATGTTTATAATTGTATTTTGTTTATTATAAAAATATGTAAATTAAGGTTGATATCACTTACTTAAATTCTAACTCTATGAAGTTTCGTAATCCATTCATTCTGCAGAACTATCACTGGAATCGTCTTTATCGTCGGAACTTAAAGTTATGACTAAAGGTTCAACTACCGTTTCGATCATACCGTGCAAGCGCCACATATTATTTTCTTCCTTAATTACATGGGAAATAGCATTGTGCCAATCTTCAGGTTTTATACGTTCTATACCGGTTTTTAATAAACTTTGAACGTCGGTTATTTTAAAAGTTTTATTTTCTCGAGCTACAAACCCTTTCACTTGCGCCCAAATTAGTTCAATAGGATTGAATTCGCAGTGATAAGGGGGAAGTTTTAGTACTGTAATACCACGATCACGAGCCATTGTGTCGACAACATATTAAATATATTTATGACGGTGTTCCTTTATTAGGTCCATTAATTCCACTTTAAGCATCTCCTCAGTAAATGTTATTGCTTTATCCCGCAGCCAGGTTTACATATCCACTTTCCTACTGGACATTATTGGAACGCGTTTAACTCGTCGACTGTGATAAGAAGCGTTATCAAGTACAATAACTGAATTTCGTTCTACACGCTGTAATACTTCAGTAAACCATTTTTCAAAGCATTCCGCATTGATGTCCTCGTGATAGTCTCCTGTTTTTTTTTTTTTCGATATAAACACGAGCGCTATTTTCCAAAAATCCACTGTCACTTCCGATATGGGTAACAATTAGGCGCTGTCCTTTACCTGATGGTGCTTTCAAATCTGTAGATAATCCCTCTATAAAAGCTTGGCGATGACTAGTTATAGAAGTATCTTGCCATATCTAAGATACCGTGTGTCCAGCATTCACCCACGTTCCATCAAGATAGTTTTTTTAGCGGCTCTAAACTCTTTAATATTTTGTAAATAACGCTGTCGCCAGGACACTATATCTGACCCCTCAATTAAAATTGATTTCCTACACCGTTTGACAAAACGAAATTTTAGGCGCCATAAAATTTTTCGAAAAATTTCATGGCTCATTAATGGAATTTCTTCGTTTTCACTTAATTTCGTAAGAACAACTTTAAGTGTAGGGGCTTTGTTTTCGAAAAAAAAAAAAAAAGAATGTACAGTTCTTCGAATGATTTGTTTTTGGTTATCGTCCAATTTCAACAATTTTCGACCACGGGTATGCGTTTTAGGAGCTTCTAAGGAGCCTTTTTTGTCTTTTCACGTACAATACGTTCAATTGTTGAAACAGATACTCCAGTTAAAAAAGAACTGCGGTTTACAGCTTCATTTGTGGGAAGTGTCTGTTTCAGCCCACCCATCTTACACTTTCCATATAATGTTCTTTTCATCCTTTGATAAAGGCTTTCGCCGACGTAATTGGGTTTCACTTGGACCCGCCTCCATTACTATTGTAACAATAAAATTCTACTATTAAATTGTTTTTATTAAATTTATAAAGACACCAATATTTTACTATTTAATAAACTTTTAAAGTACCTATCTATTATACTACACAATAAATATAACTCCTCGAATATGCACTACCACTACCAAATTGTAAGGCACAAACATGAACACCTACTCGTATATCAGAAAAGAGCACTTATACAAAAAAGTGTTTATAAAATATAAAATAATTATCGTAAATAGTTAAAGCGATACAAATTTAACTTCGTCGAAAGTTAGTTTTAAACTGTCTTTGTGCCTGT